AAAAGACGTACTTTTAAAAGGCAGTTAGAAAAGAAAACGAACAAAGACTTCAAAACCACCTCATTTCGCAAGGTTCTTTCTTTTCCAGTATCATGAATCATTCCACATCCACATCCAACTCTTTATGGTCATCCGTTCAGAGCAAACTTCCGAAAAACATTTTTAACTTCACCATCCGATATATCAATAACACACTTCCAACACGAAAGAACCTATCAAAATGGGGACTATCATCAACATCCGATTGCTCTTTCTGCTCCTCACCCGAAACGCTGCTCCATGTGATTGCTGGATGTAAGACATATTTAGACGAAGGCCGGTTTACATGGCGACACGATTCTGTTTTAAATTTCCTCGCATCCACTCTTACTGCTGTGAAAAATTCCACACTTTACGCGGACATTCCTGGTTTTATGAATCCATCTGTTATCACGGGAGATCGTTTACGACCTGACCTTCTGCTGGTGACTGAAAACAGATGTCTATACATCCTCGAGCTTACAGTCGGTTATGAATCCAATCTGCTAGTTAACGCCAATCGTAAGCGTCAAAAGTACCGTGATCTAATCAATGAGCAGGAAGCGGATTATGATAAAGTCAAGTTCGTCAATTTATCCTTGAGTACCTCGGAGTTTTTGGCCGATCTTCTGAAAATTTCGATGGCATGCTAAGTAGCCTTAAATGTGATGCCAAGTATAGTAAATACATAAAAAAGCAAATCGTGAACATATGCATACGAACATCATATTATGTATTTTGTAAACGAAACAAGGTGTGGGATAACCCAAAATTATTGTTAATATAATCCTTCTTAAAATAATTATTGTACAATAAATATATAGTATCAATTCAAGTAGACATTGATAAACTACCTGTAAAGCGAGGTTTATCATTGTAGTTGTATATATCCTAATAATCAATAAATAAAGTTTCCATTATTATTATTATACAAAAAACCGATTTGCAGCTACAAAGCTGAATTGCTCGGTTTACATTAATGTTCTAAAAATACAGTTTATAAAATTACAAGTTAAAGACTAATAATTAAGATATGATTATATATTATATAGTTTATTAAGACTTATAGGTATTAAAAGATACTACACTACTTGGTATATAACTATTTTTAAAACGGTTGGTACAAGACCAAATGTGTGTAAAATTGTCGTTATTTCTAAGATTGTTAGTACGTTTGTCAGGGAGAAGATCGTACAATTTATGACTTGGTTTAGTCATTCTTTTAAAGTGTGATCTGCAAAGTTCATCTCGTCTTTGTGAAATATTTGGAAGCGGAATAACTTCCAAGGCCTTCCTGTAAGATAGGTCAGGATAAATTATTCTTAGTGCTCGCTTTTGGACCCGCTCGACGTCATCAGAAAGGTACTGGGAAGCACCAAAGTTCCATAATTGGCAACCGTATTCGAGGACTGATCTTATGCAGGTAGTATAGATGGTTAAAAGGGATGTATGATCAAGTCCAAACCGCCTTAATATGCGTAAAAAATATAGGCGCTTGGAAGCCTTGGATACAATATAGTTTATGTGTGTGTTCCATTTCAAGTCTGTGGAAATGTAAGTGTCTAGGATTTTTGCCGAAGATACAGGAACTAGTTCGTGATTGTTTACGAAGATTGGGTCCAGTTTTGGAGGATCTTTCGCAAACGAGATGATCATATCTTTGCACTTAGATTGATTAAGTTTCATGTCATTCTTTATACACCAGCTGTTTATCGCATTAACAAGGGATTGCATCTTCCCTTGCTCACCTTTATTAATAACTTCAGAGACACTTGTATCATCCACAAATTTCCACCTTCGATCATGGTCAGTAACCAAGTAATTTATCATAATTAAGAAGAGTATAGGACCGAGCACTCATGTTCCTTGGGGTACCCCACCGTTTACTGCAGACCAATCTGAAAATACGTTACCCATTTTAATCCGCTGTCTCCTTCCGGATAAAAAGTCAATTACCCAATTGATAACGGACGGGTTTATATCCAATTTGCGCATCTTTGTGATTGGTATCTTATAGTTAATCCGATCGAAAGCCTTGCTGAAGTCCAGTAGGAATAAACGCAGTTTTACCATTTCCATCTGAGTCAGCGTATAGGGAGTGGAGTAAGCTAATTAAGGCATCAACTGAAGAGGAGCCGGGAATTGCTCCGAACTGTTTTGGATCGAGTTTCTGGCAGATGCTATCACGGATCCATTCTGCATTAAATGACTCTAAAACTTTAGATAACGTAGCGGTGAGAGATATTGGTCTGAGGTCATTGTTAATATCCTGTACTGGGTGGGTCTTTGGAATAGGGATAATGTCAGCCGCTTTCCATTGTGAAGGTACTTGAGCTTGGGCAATGGAGGCATTAAAGATAGATGCCACTGGTGTAGCAAGTTCAGCCGAGAATTCTTTTAGTAGCCAATTAGGTATACTATCAGGGCCTGGCGCTTTTGATATTTTAACTTTTTCTAAGCGACGTTCAATTAGTTCGACTGGGATGTGGTATTCGCAAGGCGCTATAAGGAATTGTTTATCGAATTCGGAAAGAGGGGGCATAGACTTGTTAACAGCAACAAATGATTCATTGATAGCGTTTGCTAGGTTTTTACCTTCTAATATTCGGTTGTCATTGATCACAGAATGAAAGGACTTATCTGAAGTGTAGCCTGCCAGATTTTTTACGGCTTTCCACCATTTCGATGGATCAGCGGTTTTAAGATGTTTAACATGAGTTTGAAAATAGGAAGGTTTTGCTCGTTTTATTGCTGTGCGGACATCATTTCTACGTTGATTATACAAATTACGATTTCCTGCAGCTAATGCATGTTGTCTGTCTGATATAAGCTTTTTTAAATCCGGAGTGATCCATGGTTTATCCCTACAATGAACTTCAACCTTTTTCTTTGGCAGGAAGGTATCTAGTCCTAACATAAGTAGGTTGTAGAAAAGGTCGCATTTATCTTGGCAAGAAGGTAAGCGGTAGAGGTGACTCCAGTCCAATGACTTGACGAATTTTCCAAGTGATGTTATGCTAGACGGTTTTGTTTTACGTACAGTTTTCTTAATAATATTATTGGGTTGTTTAGGTTGAACAGCAGGAGTAGCAAGAACGGACAGGTGGTCAGACAAGCCAATTGCTGGTAAGATTTCAGGTTCGTTGTACCACTGGTGCATATTGGTTAAGATCAAATCTAAAATGGCTGATTGCCTGGTAGGTTTCTTAACAGTTTGTTTCAAGAAGGAATGGCGGCATAATGTTTTGTAGTCAAAATGATTAAAATCACCCAATATCATAATTCCTGCGTTAGGATGCTCTAATAATAATTTATCTACCGTGGAAATAAGGTAATCTTGCAGGATATTGTTGTCTGCTAGTGGTGGATGGTAAATCACGCCAACAAAGATGCAGGATAGTTCGCGAGGTAGTCGGTAAGGTCTGAGTTTTAACCACACACCTTCGACGTCGGGGACACTAAAATTAGGAAGGGTGGAAAAGGGTATATTGGACTTAATAAAAGCGCGCACTCCTCCGCCCCGTTTGCCATTTTCACGATCATTTCGAACAATACCGGGTGGCCCAAAAAAAAGTACTCCTGTTTGATTCGTAATAACTTCTAAACAAGTAAAGTTTTTAAAGAGAAATAACTTGCATTAAATAGAGGAAGGACTAACTTAGATTTTGATATATTACAGTTGTATTTAACTTAAAAATTCACGGATATATTAATGTTAAAAATGGGAGCATATTTTGGAATGTGTCTAAAATTAGCGAAAATCGGCATATCAAATATTAACTCCAGCGTTTGTTTGCTTAATGACATATTAGGCTAACTTGTATTTCAGCGAATTATCGTTAAGGTTTGTAAGGGATATGGCGTAGATTTAGACATCTTACATGTAAGTCTTAGCTCATTGTTTCCTGAAATATGAACGTTCGGAATTATGCAAGTATTTAATATTAGGTCTTTGCAAACTTAAATGTACATGAAAGACTGACCATGGAAGGCAGGCGCTTAAATTTTTCGTATTCTTAAATAGCCTAATTTTTTTATGTTTTTAATGGGTTCAAACAGACTGAGTAGATTATTTCTCGGTTAGAGCAGGATGAATATTCTTTATTGAAGGAAATAATATTGCTTTTTGCAAATACACATCACCGTATCAACGCTACTATTTTGTTACGTTTTGTTCCAAAAATGTTGCATGTCTCTGGGGAGTTGCTTAATTGTTATGTCTTATGGAGTTGTATGGTTTGATTGTGTTTCATATAATTCTCAGTTTACTCCATGAACTTGCCAAGATTAAGAAACGGCAAAAGAGTTTGGGTGTTCTTAACAAGATTTCAGAACGTTGCAGAAGTTAGAAGAGCTTCACAATTCCGTTGTGACAGCATGCCCTAATTCAGAACTACGAACGATCCAATGACGATCCTTCGCGATGCAGTGGTCTCATGAAATAAGGAAACGTATTCGTGCTAGGAACACACGCGAATTTCGGACGAATGAATCTTGCTTGTATTTTGTAGATATAATAATACTTTGTTTCATAATAAACAATTTGTCAAGTGTCATTTATTTACTGGTAATAGTGCATGTTTCAGTCGGGCAAATCTTGATTAATATTTGATACGCCGATTTTTGCATATTTCAGACACATCCAGAAATATCCTCCCGAATTTAAAGATTAATATCTCCGTGAATTTTTAAGTGAAATACAACTGTAATATATCAAAGTCTAAGTTAGTCCTTCCTCTATTTGATGCAAGTTATTTCTCTTTAAAAGCTATACTTGTTTAGATGTTATTACGAATCAAACAGGAGTACTTTTTTTTGGGCCACCCGGTAGAGTAGCCTGGGAGGGATATTGGATCATCGGTGATTCTAGAATTTAACCAAGGTTCTGTTATGGCGATTACATCTACGTTATTTTGTTGGGTGACAGTTTGCAAATCATCAATCTTAGCATTTAAGGATCTTACGTTGGAGTGAAAGAATGTTGGTGGACAGCTAAAGGTTGGTAAGCGGTTATGTGCCTGAGTCCCAGGAATGGCTTTCTTGGTTTGAATGTGTATCAGATTATTTCTATTTACACAATGTTTTTCGAGGACGATTTAGAACACTCAAGGGGATACTTTAATAAGACTAGAAATAGATTGGTCAGTATAAGTGGTAAAGCCTCCGTCAAACGAAGATGAGAGTTCTTGGTAATCAGGCATTGTTGCGGGGGATACTCCAAGCTCTAAATTAACAAAATGAAGGTTTGATGAGTGTTCCAACTATGTTCGAACTCAAATAGAAATCACAGAATATATCTTGGGAAAGCATTAAGAACAACTACAACCAAAGTCGCGTGACTCCAACTCACGTGCCCTCTCATCCTCGTTTGATCCGTGCGTATGCAACTGCGCAGCATTAGAACTAAAAATATGTAGTCATTACAAGCTTAAAGTATGATCGACAGTGGTGCGGAATCCACTCTTACCTGTGAGATCGTAACTTTTACATCGTATTAATTCTTGAGACGAAACTTTGACGTCACAGACAAGTCTACCACACGTCGCTGTACGTTCAGCAAAGCCACCTTTGGAGCCAAACTGAAAGAATACCTGATGTTAATGGCAGTGTACTTACATTAGAAGACGTCTGAGTGCCCTAAGAGGAGATTATATACCCCTAGCCAATCATTCACTCTGATTTGGTTATACACCTAGTTATACCCCTAGTCTGTCTGAGGTACTGTATACCCCTACGCAATCATTCATTCTGCAAGGATTTGGTTGTGAACATAAAATATACACTAAGAAAATACGCACTGAGAGCTTTGGCATAACTTGTCTTCGCAGTCTTCCCATACGTGACCAATTTGGTATCTGAAATGAAAATTGGCAAATTGGTACCGAAATGTCCGATTACAGTATGAATCGCCATTGCACTGGCCACAGGTATTTCAAATAATACAATAATTTTAAGTTATAAATAGTCTAACAAAATATCAGTTTTACCTTGCAAGCATTGATTCTGTGCAATAAAACATCCAAATCAAAAATACTAATGTCATGACCCTACAAAACATTACAGTACGATTAAAATAAACAGCTCACTGGTTCACCCCTGCTCTATAGGCTGCGTATGCAAGATGGAGCATGTGTCTTCCCATGGAGGCAGACTGTTCTACAATTGGCCACTTGCGTAATAGACAAAATTTTGATCTCAACAAGTCTAGACAAATATTTCATTACAGCTTGAAAGAGCATCACAAAATTAGTAATATTCCAAATGTTGTAAAATGCGGACAATATAGTCTTGCGAAGTTGGCAGTTTTTCAGTCATTTTGCATTACGCGGGGGGAAATTGGCAGCCCTTTGGGGCTGTCTTTTTCCCGTTTGTAATAGAAAATGACTGAAAAACGGCAAACTTCGCAAGGTTATATTATCCGCATTTTACAACATTTCGCAACGAAACTTTGGAATATTACTAATTTTGTGATGCTCTTTCAAGCTGTAATAAATTTTTGTCTAGACTTGTTGAGATCAAAATTTTGTCTATTACGCAAGTGGTCAATTTAGCAGGGATTAATATACAAGCAATTTAGTCTGCTACCATTTTTTCGGAAGAAAATGCAGTTTTAGAAGAAGAACGTCACCCCCACTCCAGTAAAATTGATTTTGTCTCTATATCCCGCATTCAGACAGCACCTTTCAGCAAAAATATAACCGTTTTTAAGAGGATTTTTATGGCGTGTTGAAGAATATACCACGATGAAGTACTTTCTTCCTTTTGCAGTTATTTATTCCCATTAGCCAAATTCTTCAAAGCATATTGAGAAAAATCTAATTACGCAAAAAGATTGAGTTTCAAAACTTCGAGTTTTTACTACCGTACACTGAAAGCAGAAAAGTGCTTGTATTAATTCCTGCTTACAGTAGGTGTGCATGTTTGAAAACTACGAAGTGTACCACTAACCACTAATACATCTGGGTCAAGTTTTTGAAGTCTGGCCATAACAAATCTAAGAAGTGCCCTCTATGTGCTACATACTTCCACGTTCATATCCTAATATTGAGATGAAAACGATCTTATGTAAATTATACGGTATAAAAGAATAAATTTTGTGTTAGGTAGGTAAGCAGGGAATACCAAATTTTACTGCACGTAACTTACTTGTTTTTTTCAGTACATTCTTGAAATCATAAGGGAACATATAATCGTGAGGTTTGGTAACAGCTGCAAGAAAGAAAATGGATCAAATTCCAAACATTGTAAAATTATAGGCGGTTAATTAATAGGGAGTTTAAGCTTCACGTTCACCAGAACAACAAACGGCAGGTTCAAACTTTCTTGGCAAAATGTTCGTTGAACGTTTTCGTTTCATATTTTCTTTGTTGCGTCTAAAGAATAATTATGTATCTCAGTTTTAAAACAGCAATTAAGTTCATTTATTCTTTATTGCCTGATACCGTAAAATGTTTCTTTGCCTGGCGTTTACCGTTTGACGTATAACGCGAAGCTTAAACTCTCTAATATCAATTTTTTTCTGTGTTGGTGTAGTGTACTCAGGTGAATATGATATTTGTGGTGTTACTCTGAGTGTATATCCACACCGGGCGAGCTTGAAAAATATGCCCGGCCACGGTGGGATTCGAACCTACGACCTTTGGAATACTAGCCCAATGCCCTTCCAACTGAGCTACGCGGGCAGGACGGTTCGAGTAAGTGATATTTCGGAACAGAATCTAGTTCCTTCGATACCAATGCATTCTAGTAATATGAATTTTTTTTTTTCTGTGTTGGTGTAGTGTACTCAGGTGAATATGATATTTGTGGTGTTACTCTGAGTGTATATCCACACCGGGCGAGCTTGAAAAATATGCCCGGCCACGGTGGGATTCGAACCTACGACCTTTGGAATACTAGCCCAGTTCTTTGAGCAACATTGCATTCTTCCCCGTCTAGCCAAATTCTACGATAACCTAAAAAAATTTTTGATACGAAACCACACTAAAACTTGTAAGTGGGCCTTTTTTCCCATCAAAATGAATTGAAACATGAATCAGAAGACGCAATGTTTACAAATGCTAAGCTGGAAACTTCATGTAAGAATGAGCATGAGCCCGCGAATATTGGCATTTAGAGTGTTTATTACACCAAGTATCCTGAACAAAAATGGCGGCGATCGATTGCGAAAGATGTCGATTTCTTCAATTTTCGAAGAAGAAATACTCGAAAACTGCAGGTTTTGGGAAGTGCAAACAAGCGGATTTGGACTTTGTATAATTTATCCTAATTATTTATCTTGTTTCAAAGTAGTGCCCGAACCCGGGCTTGCAACGGAATTCGTTTTCTAAGCGACTTTTCGTGCCACAGAATACGGCCTAAGAACTTGTATAGTTAATGTTGTTTACTATAGTTTTGCACTATGTCCAAGTCAATATTTGAGTCTGTATGTGAGCATATGTGAGATACATGCATGTATGTGCTAGATCAATGTTATTACAATGTATAATCATATTTTATACCGTCTGTATCAAAATGTTGATCGTCACATAATTCTGTCTATATTATCATGAGTATCGTGACATAATTGAAACAATCCAGTAAAAGTACGTTTATACGCTGCGATTTATTGAATATTGGGTCGATTTTAGATGTTAGCCCTCCATTATATTTGATGTAAATTTGTTATCTACTTGGCCATATCGCATGAGTGCCCTAGTCACAGAAATTAACTGTCCAATTCTATGAACTCGTTTTTAGTATTCTAAATGTAAATTGTATTGTACATGTTTAACAAATTTATTGGTTAACATTTATAAATATGTGCAAATACATTTGAAAAATAACCAATCGGCAAAGCCAAAGCCAGGCACGAACGGGACAGAACTCAGAAGTACCCATACATGACACCTTCGCGTTAAACGTTAAAAGTAACATCGTCATAGGTTCACATAAGACTGTATACAGTTATAGTGAATTATGTGTAAATCCAATTCTCAATGGCAAGGACAGTTACGAGATCTAGACAGTGTCCATGTGCACGGGAAGTCTATGTCAAAGGATGCCTTGAATAAAATTACTATGTTTGTTTGAGTAATTGTTTAAATGATGAGATGTTGGGAAAGCCATGTACAGGAGCTGTTTTGCAAATAGTGTTCCAGAGTTTGACAATCCGGTCATAAAAGGATGTCTGCAGGAAAGTGTTTGTCTTACTACGTGACCATCCTCGTCCCCAGGCCCAAGCTCGGGCGGCCCCCACTGTGAGGGCCGCCCGAGCTTGGGCCTGGGGACGAGGATGACTACGTGACCAGAGACTAGCTTTCAACCTCAATCCCAGGCTCCCCGTGTTCGAATCGCGTCCGGTGTGTTTAAAATGCAGAACGGCAATTAACGTGCGGAGGCGAATGACCTAAGCCGGAAAGGGGGCGTATTAAATGTGTTTACGTCATGAACAAACGCAAATCTTGACACTCCTCATTTCCAGTCACGCAAACTACGCATTTTCCGATGATCATATTACTTGGTCTTCATGTGCCGCGAATTAGCCACATTGATGTACAGACTACAGTATATATAGTCCACCCACTCCAGCGTCTGAATTATCGCGTGTATTGTTTTATACTGTATATTACTTGAAAGGTTTCGGCGCGTGTATGCATGGGCGTACGGGCCAAATCTTGTTTGGGGGGCACAGTATTAGTTTGCCCGACTGTCGCCAATTAATATTTCTCCCCAAAATTGTTGGCGAGCGGGGGGGGGAGGTCTCAAATAAATTTCCCTAATATCCCGTAATTTTCGCAAACATGCAAAAAATTTTCCGGACATAACATAATTTTTCCGAAATTTTTATGTTTTGCCCGAATGACGCATGGATTTCTGCCCGACCGTAAAAAATTTGGGTGGGGGCAGCCCCCGGCCCATACGCCTATGCGTGTATGACGTGAGGAACACTGTTGTATCAACTGGAAAACAGCACTGAAGTCAGTATAAAAGGCAAGGACACATTTTTCTCAAAACATTTTTGCAGAGAGAAGACTACTACTCACTAGATAAGGGTTCTTACTTATAAATATGTGCAAATACATTTGAAAAATAACCAGTCGGCAAAGCCAAAAGCAAAGCTAGACACGGAACAGTTTAGTATAGTTTTATAAAATATGTTGACGGAATATTCAAGAATAACCTGACCAAGCATGAATTAACATTGATTAAAGGTGATACTACACGGGATAACTTGTAACAATAACTCGCAATGCAAATCGTTACAGAACCAAACAAATTTAGTGTAACTGAGTTTGCATTGCAAGTTTGCATTGCAAGTTGTCGTTACAAGTTTTTCCAGGTAACATCGCCAGCTTGCCGCACACGAGAGAAACATACGGAGCTAACCGCCTCGGTGGCAGCTAGCAGCATGTTTCACGCGTGTGCCGATAGTTTTCATAAGGATTTTTAAAACCTCTCGAGGCCCTGTAACCCTGTTTGATATTTTTCACCTCGCGAGGAAAAATCTCAAACGTCTGCGAATGTTGCGAGCTTAGGGCCTGTTCATATGATCCCGCTTACCGGGACGTCTCGCTTACCGAGACGAATATTTCCGTGCGTTCATATGGAATATTTCGTCCCGCTTGCCGAGATGAAATTACAATGTAGTTCTATAATTAGCGTATGCAAAACTTCTACATTTCAGTCAAGCAACACAAATACTTAGCCAGTGTTTTTCTTCGTTTATTTACAATAAAAAGTATTTCTTCAGGTGCATATTTAATACTTGTTTACAAAACAAACATAAAACCAAGTAAAAAGTGTTAAATTAAACTGGCAAGACTTGTTTGACTTCATCCCGGTAAGCGGGCTGGCGTGTTCATATGGAAAATTTTTCATCCCGCCTACCTATGATCTCGGCAAAGTCAAACGAGATCTCGGCAAGCGGGCCAGCTCGCTTTCTCATATGAACACAATGCAAAATTTTATAGGAAAATAGATAGGCGGCGAGATCATCGGTAAGCGAGACGTCCCGGTATAAAGCGGGATCATATGAACAGGCCCTTAGTGCTGTGCTGTTGGAATTAACTCCCAATGAAAACGGAGACAATGTTGCATGTTGATGTTGCTGACTTGCTGTCAGGGACGCCGGAACTAGGGGGGGGG